TATACAAAAATTTACAACGAATTTCTTCATTATTTTTACTCATTTTTGAACAGTTGAAACTTTTTTCAATTTCCCCGAATTTAATTTTTTTTTTCGTTAAAAAAAAAAGCGAGTTGGACTTTCAAACATTTAAAGAAATCCAACGGGTTGGACTGTCGTTATATAGAAACTAAACGAATGCGAAGCTATTTTTTATTGTATGCTTTGAATTTTCGACAACGAAATTTAAAATGTATCAAGTTGAATATTTCAATATTTCGCAATTGTAATAATTTAAACAAAAATTGTTCGGTAAAATTTATAGCATAAATCCAATTCAATAGCATATCCTCAGGCGCCTCAGACATTTTAATGACCACCATACCGTTGTTTTCAATTCAATGTAAGCTTAAATTTTTTGAAAATATAAATTTCACCAGCAGTTAACAGTAATATTTTAAAACCATAATTTGAGAATTTTTTTAGATTTTAAGATTCTTTTTCGTTGGAATAATATTGATTGCATATAACATATATACATATGCTCTAGCACATCCACCCAGTAAATATTATATATTGCAATTATGTATGCACCCTTCAATCTGTTTAGTGGCCACCAGCAGCTATCATTGACCAACCACAAACGAAGCCATTAATTGTGTGGCATTTGTCGGACGCTACGGCTGTCAGGGTCGTTAGTGCATTTTCAAAAGGCCGCATGCAACTGATGAGCCACGCATCTTTGGCATGAAAACCACAAAATGTCGGCTTTGGGCTTGGCGTGGTGGGACACTGGGTGCCGCGCATGGCGATTCGGAAGTGTTCTCAATTAGCGTCGAAGATTAAGTGAGATGAGCTATGAAGATGAGGTTGCAGCGGTTGTGGAGTACCACGTGAGGAGGTTAGAGTTGAAGAGATAACTAATTGAATATAATTTACGTTGATGTTTCTAAGTAGAATATGCCGAACAAAGCCTGCAAGTCAGTAGTAGCTTCGGATTTTTGGTTGGCAGGAGAGCGTTTGTAAAAAACACCGGTAAACTTGAAAAGTTACTGAAAATGTTTCGTAATGATATATAATATGTATATTTACGTATAAAGATGTTTTGCAAAAACTTTCCCAAAGAAATCGCAAAAATTATATTTGAAACCGCTATAACACAATTGAGGCGCTATTTGTAGCACACTTTTACGCTGCAACTCCCGGTAGTGTAATAGCGCATTTTAAAAATGCTCTCCCCAACACTAAATGTTAATGAACGTCGCAAAAGCTGCATCTGAAGTTTCAAATATTCCACAGCTAAGCCATAAATTGCAATTTAAGCGCGCTTCCATTGTTTTTATTGCAAAAACACTGACGATAATATTGCAGCGCGACAAATATGCCAAACGAGCTTTTATTGATTTATTGCTGTCGCATTACAACAGTGTCAGAAATGTGTATACATAGCTATATATACATGTATGTAGATAAAGCATTTTTATGGAGACCTATAACATTTTCTGTGTTTCTACATGGCGTATGAGCAACATCAGCAGGATAAATGCCTTTGCAGGCTAAAATATACATATGTACATATATGTATGTACATATGTGTACCAAATTATATTTATATATATTCGAATTGGATCGTTATTTCGCATAGCGAATTCTGCTTTGAACTTTTTAAAATCCCGAAATTTTGGTGTTGAATTTGAACTGTCGCGATCCAGACTTTTCTATTGAAATTACAATATTTGTTTTAATGAACATATATACATATGTATATGCAAGTGAAAATGTTTTGGTGGCGAAATAATATTTTCGATCAAATGTATACAAATAAATTACATAGAACATCGAAGCGGTAGAATTAATTGCCACAAGAGTGCTCAGGAGGCCTGTCAATTTTTTAACAATAGCAATTTGTTGGTTTTTGAAGTTTAATGAAATAAAATAACATATAATAAATACGGGATCCCGAACATAAATTATCTAGTACCGAAATCCCGCTAAGCACACGAAACAAATATAATGACAGCAAAAATTTAACAAAGAATAAATTCGGGATCCCGAACATAAATTTCCTAGCACCAAAATCCCGTTACGCACACACATCAAACATAGTAACAGCAAAAAGCTAACAAATAATAAATTCGGAATCAAAAACTGAAATTGTCTAGTCCCGAAAGTGCGATATGTACAAATTCGGGATTCCGAATTGCTCAAGTTGGCTCAACTGTATGTATGTTTGTGCACATTTCATGGAATGTAAGCGATATATAATATATGCATGTGGCAAAAGCACGTACGCACTCACCAATACAAACAAACATACATACATACACAGATGCATATCTATGCTAGTTAATATCACATTCACATGAGACCAGCGCATTTTCCTAATAAATTTCAGCAACTGCAGCAATGCCACTGCAATCTGAAGCGCATCGTTCATGTGGTTGGCAATATGATTGCATGTGTGTGTGTGTGCGCGCGCATGTGTCAGTTTGTAACAGTTTATTATGTATGCATGGACTGCTTATGTTTATGGCGCTCACAGTATATTATTTTGCAAATTTAGATGACAAAATTAATTTTATTGTTTGCCATGCGAGACGCTCAAACGCACATATGCGCACACGCATACACATGCATATGTATGTACAAAGAGTGGATATAATTCGCAACAGCTGCCGCATAGCTGTGGTTATTATCTACATATGCGAATAGAGACCTGCATTATTTGCGTACGTGTGTGTGTATGTGTCCTTTCCGCCCGCCTCTGCCGCACACCTTTGCGGTCGTTTGTCATGCACCAGCTGCTGCAATTGTGCAATATAGGCCACGCTGCGCGCAACCAGCAGCCGACCAACCACTGTCCACAAATATTGCCTAGTTTTAGGCGTTACATTGCATGCGCCGTGATTTATATGCGTGCGGGTAATTGGAAACGCAGCTAAGAGGCTCAATAGCTGACAAACGCACGCACACAACTGCCATTTGCCACATGCCACCTGCCGAACGCTAACAACTGTCTCAGCTTACGACAGCAACAACAATCACTCAAAATCAGTTTAAAGTGTTGGCAGGCGGGCGCTTGATCAACCGTCCCACCATTCCAAGCATATCGATAATCCGTCCGTTCGAGCGATTGCCTTGACATGCTCGTGCGTGGACTGCTGTCATCGTTATTGTCAATGTGAGCGGCAAGGCGGCGAGTTAAGGTAGGCGAAATTGATTTGATCGATACACGTGCGCACACACGCATACACTGTCATGCTTGTAGGAAGGGCGCACCTGCAGCAGCTGCTAGCCCGGTCATTGTTTGTGTATGCACCACGCTTATCGCCAACAGCAGCCTCACGCAGGCACACATGCAAGCGCCAGCTTTGCAGGCAATATCACTGCATTTCAATGGAGCGTATTTTATTGGTTGTTGTCATTTGTCGTTGGCAGCGTGCTGCTGTTTCAATTAGTGTCCGTGTTGTTATTGTTTTTGCTGTGGTTGACGCGTATACCTTGCAGCGCATCGATGTCGTGTCAAGGTTGTACATGCCCCGCACACACACACGCGCGCGTCAGTGTGGCATTTCGCCCCAACATTGCAAATCACCGCTCCAACACTTCATCGGCATCACACACACTTGCGCACGCATGCATACAAATGCGCATATATTTGCATAAAAGTAATGCTGAAAAGCTTCGCATCTGCTCTTCGAGCTACTTATAGTATACCATTGACAGTCGCTTATTTACTGCATTTTGGCAATTAAATTTCTTTTTAAGCCAAACTCATCGGCAATGATGGCTCATGTCATCATCAATAAGCGCCTCAATGCCACTTTCGTCGAAGTAAATTCATTGCAAGTGCACCTAATTGCTAATTAAATTTCTTCCTAGTTGTTGTTGTTGTTAACAGAAAACCGCAAAATAGCCTTTAACAACAACAATGACTTATGTTTTAGTAAAGCATATTAAATGCTGTCATGTGTGACATCTCCGCAGTGGCAAAATCTATCTGAAACCGCTGAGAGCGATGCATGGACACGAGGTGGCCAAGACCTACAAAGCCAAAGAACTTCCAAGTCAAATCCGAGGAAATCTGCTAACAAACATTCATGAAGAGCGGATCAGTCAAAATAAGTGTTCTACTAGAAGTGTTAGTAGACGCAAGTGAACCAGACAATCAAGTTTTCAATAACCCAGCCTTATACCAAGCTCATCTTAAGGCTGTAACTGTTCGAAACAGAGTTCTTGAGTCACACGAAACTTAAGATTTTATGGAACTGTTGGATTTGAGAATTTTCGAGCTATAGTTGATATCAACAAATCAAGTATTGATTAAAGTTATAGCAATTGGAGCAGCGCCACCTACCTCTGCACTATACTTGGCTTTTAAAAAATATCACTAAGAACTTTGACTATATCAGCACATTTTGTAAGGAAACTGAATAACTACGACATCAAGTTTATAGTGACAAAATACGAAAAGTCTTTTTCGACTACCCAATATATTGGGCCAACCGAGAAAAAGTGTATACCCTAATATAGCTCAATCAATACCCTGTATATTAATAAAAAATATTTTTCACTCACCCTCTATTCCTTTTCTTACAGGCTTATCCGAATCGTGATATCACTAATATTGTTGAATCTTCGCATTATCAGAAAATCGGCGGATGGTGTCGTCAGGGCGCTTTGAATTCGGCAAAATGTAAAGGGGCACATCGTTGGATCAAACCATTCCGTTGCTTGGGTGAGTAGAATATGAAAAAAATGCAAGAAATATAAAATATATCATTTAATTCAATTTATTAACATAGAAAAAGTTAACGAAATCGTAAAGAGGAGAATATCGAATAAGAATAATAAATATAACAATAAAGTATTAAGCGATGAATATAAAGAGAATACCTAAAATACAATAAATATTTAAAAAATAAATTGAAAAATGGAGAAAAAACATAAAAGCAAAAATTGATTCCGTAAATACTAGAAAACAGGCCATATTTTTGATTAGAGAATTTAAAAACAATACTGAGCAAAACGTAAAAAAACATAGAAAAACCTGGAATCAAAAATTGATAATGTAATTGCTAGGAAATAGACTATATTTTCGAAAAAAATATATATGAAATCATAAAACTAAAAATTGATATTGTAATTGCTAAAGTATGCTTTTCTTCCATATTATACGAACCACCTAACTAATATCTTTCGCCCTCTCCCGTTTTCTCTCTTTCTCTTTCCTTCTATTTCTAACTTTTTCAACCTCCTACTGGTTTTTTTTGTTTTTGTATTTTAAACCGTACAACGGCAAACATCTGCTTGCTACATTATGCACTTGCTTTCAGAAGGACCATTCCAATCGGATGCCCTACTCGTGCCCGAAGGTTGCCTCTTCGATCACATCCACAATGCCTCACGTTGCTGGCCATTCGTTAGATGGAACCAGACTGGCGCCGCCGCTTGTCAGGAGCGCGGCATGCAAATGCGCAGCTTCGCCATGTTGCTGCCCTGTGGTATTTCATTGTTCTCGGGTGTGGAATTCGTTTGCTGTCCGAAACATTTTAAAAGTGAGTATGAAAAGACGTAAGCAGGGGGGTTCCAGGTAATTGCGGATGAAAGTAAGTGTGGGCGGGTTGTTGGTAGAAATCAAGTGTAAGTGTGCTTGTGTGGTTGAGTGTCTGGGTGTAAATTGGTGTTGATGGTACAGCATTTCTTGCGTAGTGCATATATATATACCAGTTAGAGCGTATATAGGTCGCCATTAAAGCGGCTAGTGCATAGATAAATAGCAAAGAGTAAACGAAAACAATGAAAATCAATCAACGCAGTAATGTTAGAGCGCTGGCAAAAACAAAAACAAACAGCACATACTTTACTACGCTCAAATGATTTCTACCAAAACTCACTGCATTGCTTGTTGCAAGAATGTCGTTTTTATTTTGGTTGGCAAATTTGTCGAAATGAATTTTCAGCACTGCTTGGCTGCCGCGTAGTTGCCACATGTTCAAATCCCCAATCGACACGTGCGCTGCAGCATAATTGAATTTTAATGGCAATCGTCGCCACCTGCCGCGCTGAGCTTTGCTGATAAAATCTGCGCTAAATGCAACGATGCGTTTTTTATTATATCGCCAAAGGGGTTTTAATGCACTGTTGCCACATTTCTTCCGTTAGGTAGCAATTATTTTTCTGTCTTCTTGAAAATACTACCCTTTCTGCTACAAATGCCCATCGCCCTATTCGCCGACATGCTTTTATCTCTGCCTTTCAAGGCTAAGAGAAGACTCAAGCTTTGCTCTCAGCTAACCGGGAATCTCAGCATTACTCTCAAATGCAAAGTGAAGTCATAAATTTCATAGTACACACAACTTATCACTCCCCTGCCTTCTTTGTTATCTCTCTTCATAATGGAATTTCTAAAAACAATTTTGCAATAAAAATCTGCAATTCACACTTGATCTTCGAGAGTCCACACTTCCTCTGAACAGTTTGTCAACCGCGCTACACTCTTCGTAGTTTCTCCTTCAAGTCTAAAAATTTTACTAACACCACTTTTTTCTTTCAAACTACTTCGCCTACGCATCAGCCGATGAGATACGCGTGAAGAAGACCGACCTACCCATTATCGCCCCAGCTGAGATTACCAACAGCAATGTGGACGTGACTAACGATGATGACAATGACTCTAACTACTCCAAGGATGTTGGCGCCGATGATGATCTCGACGATGAAGATGATCTGATGGGCGATGATGAAGAGGACGAAATGATCGCCGATGAGGCAGCTGCTGGTGAGGCGAATAGCTCTAATGCTGACGATTTGAATGGTGAATATGATTCCGGCGAAGACTTGGACAACTATGAGGAGGATGGTGGCGGTGCAGCTGAAGAGCAGTCGGACAACTGGGATTTGCAGAATGGTAGCTCAAGCGGCGCGAAACCAGCGGCGGTGAAGTCCAACGCAGATGAGGCGGGTGGTGCAAAGGGCAAATTGGGTGTTGAGTCGGTGGTTAAGGGCGCAGCTGGTATGATGGCTGACGCGCCAGCCGCATCCACAGCACAGCAACAGCAGCAGCAATTCCCCACAGCGCCATCCACTAGCCAGCCCACCGTCGATCCATACTTCACCCACTTCGATCCGCACTACGAGCATCAGAGCTACAAAGTAAGTCAAAAAGTAAGTGTACTCCATTCAATGTGCATTTTATCAACACAAAACCGAACATATTCTAAAACAAGGAAGCCCAACAGCGCCTCGAGGAATCGCATCGCGAGAAGGTCACACGTGTCATGAAGGACTGGTCCGATTTGGAGGAGAAATACCAGGATATGCGCATGGCCGATCCCAAGCAAGCACAGACATTCAAGCAACGTATGACAGCACGCTTCCAGGTGAGTGGGAATGCTCCAAACTGGTATTCAATTATGCAGTAAGCGAATATGTATGTGGGTGTATGCATGCAAGAACACACCATCTATTTAGACCGATATGTAGCTGTAGTTGGCACAGCTTTGCATGTGAAAGTACGAGCACTCTTTCTCTTCCCGCACTTTTCTTCAAAAGCTCTTTCTTTATTATTATTTTCTTTTTGTTATTATAACGCATGACACAGAACAGTCAAACGATTAATGAGAGCATCTCAAACCTGTGTTAGCAACAAAAAAAGCTCGCTTCCAAGTTTTCTCGTGAAAGCTTTTTATAAAAGTGATGTGAGAAAACTTTAAGAACAGGTTTTACAAACTATTTTACGTTCTCAGTATTTTACTTTTTATGAACGCGACGTGAGAAAGATTTCAAAAAATCTTTTACAAAACTATTTTCCTACTATTTCAGTTCATAAAAAGTTTTACTAGAACTCTTTAAAGCTTAATGCGCTAAGCTTTCACATTTCAAGCTTGAAATGCTCTCACCGACCACGCCTCATTTCTCATCGTTCATTATCTACATTTTAGTTTTGAATGTAATCAATAATTTTATTTGCCCTTTCCTTTCACTTTTATTTGTTTTTGCATCTACACATTTTTAACTAATTTTCGCACATTCTGCACTTAAGTTTGCCTATTTATTATAAGCCAAATGGGAGCGAAAGAGACATCAGATTGGAAGCTTTTATAGCAGTCATTAATATATAAAATAAGTGATACAAAATTTACTACCCCAAAAAAGTTTTGCTTTTTTTCCCCTAAATGTAGCCTGTCTTGAGTTATAGAACTAATTAGCTGAGCATGATTTAGTTATTCAAAAACTCAAAGGAGTGTTTATGCGAAAGCTCTAAACAGAGTTAAAAGCTGGGTGAACAAAAAGCTAATTTAATTTCATAATGAGCTTTTAGTGAAAGTTTACTAGACACATGAAAGCTCACGGTATACCAGCATCATATTGAAAATTTGAGCTCAGTGTAAACACTTTTGTACCAAATTTTTACAAAAGCATACATTTGTGATGACCTTAAGCTAATAAGCGACCCTTAATTTTCTACTTGAAAGCTGTGACTTTTGAAAGAAATTTTACTAAAAATACCCAGAAAGTCGAAATGCGGAAGGCCTTATCGGAATTGATTAAACTGGATTGGAGGAATCAGATGTTTGCATAAAGCCCTTAGAAACAGCTTATCACTTGTACGAAAACTTTTCCAGAAGAATAATTTAATTCAATTGCTTATAATTAGTGATGTAAAATGTCGCGAGAATATTCTAAAAATAGAACTTTGATAAAATTTAAAAATATCATTTATACGAAAGCTCATTACAGTTTTTGCAAAAGTGTATAAAATTAGCGGTGTAAAATATTATTTCCCTTTTCGTTTAAACTTTTCGAAATGACACTATTCAATAAACTTTCCTAAACTAAGCTAAACTTTTTAAAGAGGCGTTTTTATTTTTCTCTAAAGCACATATAGGGACTTTCAGAATCCTGGGTTCGGAAATGTTATGTTTTATACAATTAACACGAACAAGCTACTATTGTGAACGGAAGATTCCAATGTAATATACATACCACATATAATCTATGTAAAAAGGTGTGAGAGCTTTTGAAAATCACACTATCCTTGTAGAGCCGTAGAAATCCAATACTACAATACACTAATAGTAAAAGCATCTCCTACGTCGCTTTGTCATCACTTCAGATGCTTGAGAACCAATCTAGTTTGAAGTTTACTTAGCGTATTCATTCATCAGAACTCACTACGCCAACACAACCACCGTAAAATCATTACAAACATTTTCCCTTTTTTGTTTTGATTTAACTCAAGAACTCAAAACTTTCCCAACCACTGCAAAATTCGAAAATCAACCATTCAATCCCCACAACAAAATTGCAATTCGTTCATTCTTCTCTCTGATTGATTCTTTCTCTCTTGATGTGCTATACGTCTTTATATGGGAATGTAATTTTAGACTTCTGTTCAGGCACTCGAGGAGGAAGGCAACGCCGAGAAGCATCAGTTGGCTGCCATGCATCAGCAACGCGTGTTGGCCCACATCAATCAGCGCAAACGTGAAGCGATGACCTGCTACACTCAAGCGCTCACCGAACAGCCACCAAATGTGAGTTATCCACCAACACGTATCTGATCCGCAAGCCTAGAGTGGAATCACAAAATTTTGAGCTACTCATACTCTCTGCTTTCTTCAAACTACTCTTTTGTTCACAGGCTCATCATGTCGAAAAGTGTTTGCAGAAGCTATTACGCGCCTTGCACAAGGATCGCGCTCATGCATTGGCCCACTATCGTCATCTCTTGAACTCCGGCGGTCCAGGTGGTTTGGAAGCTGCCGCCTCGGAGCGACCACGCACATTAGAACGTCTCATCGATATCGATCGTGCCGTCAACCAATCCATGACCATGTTGAAACGTTACCCCGAATTGTCTGCTAAGATTTCCCAATTGATGAACGACTACATTTTGGCGCTCCGCAGTAAGGACGACATACCCGGCTCATCGTTGGGCATGAGCGAAGAAGCGGAAGCCGCCATTTTGGACAAATACCGCGTTGAGATCGAGCGTAAGGTAGCGGAGAAGGAACGTCTACGTTTGGCCGAGAAGCAGCGCAAGGAGCAACGCGCCGCTGAACGTGAGAAATTGCGTGAAGAGAAGTTGCGCTTGGAGGCCAAGAAAGTGGATGAGCTTCTGAAGTCGCAAGCCGAGCAGGATGGCGGCGCCAGTGGTGCTGGCTCCTCTATTTCAGGCTCCTCCTCCGCTGCAGCACTAGGTGACTCCAAGGTGAGCAGCAAAGAAATGGGCCAGCTTACAGATCCCACTAAATTGGCGCAAAGCGATAAGGACAGCACTGGCGGTGAGGAGTACGCCGATGTCACTGTCAGGTAAGTAGAACACAGGTGTTAAAAGGTTAACAATAATTTAAATTTCCACTACCACTTGCAGCACCAAAACCCAAACCGTCCTGCCCACAGTCGATGATGATGCCGTACAGCGCGCCGTGGAGGATGTAGCCGCCGCTGTCGCCCACCAAGAGGCTGAGCCACAGGTGCAACATTTCATGTCGCACGATTTGGGTCATCGCGAATCGGTAAAATGTCTTTTATTAACGAAATGTGTTTGGGTTTCATACGAATTCTTTGCAGAGCTTCTCGCTGCGCCGCGAATTCGCACATACGCACGCGAACAAGGAGGGACGCAATGTCTACTTCACTTTGTCCTTCGCCGGCGTTGCATTGCTAGCGGCCATCTTTGTTGGTGTCGCAGTGGCCAAGTGGAGAACATCTCGCTCGCCACATGCGCAAGGCTTCATAGAAGTTGATCAGGTGAGTTGAGTATAAATTGAGTGAGAAGCTGCAAACTGCCGACAGAAAGTTTTGGAGAAAAATGGCAACGCAGCAAACTCTGTTGATACTGGAAGAACACTGCCGTTTCATTATTTTAAAAAGTGATTAAATATAGAGTGTTGCTTTTTTCACTGAAGATATAGTATACGAGCTTCACTTATGCCTCAAGGCAGCTTTCCTCGTATATGTAGACCATTTCAGTAATATGTTATTTAATTTACATATTTTTGCGCTAAACCGATATATATCAGCATACCGAGCTGATTCCATKTAGCAATGACCGTCTGTCTGTCTGTCAGTCCATCTGTCTGTATATACGCGAACTAGCCATCAGTTTCAGAAATGTCGATCTGAAATTTCTTCAAAAAAATTGGCAACAATGCAACCTCTGAAATCGACAAGAAATCTTCGACAAAGGCGGGATGAATTATAGACTAAGTAAAATATGCAATCTCAGAAGAGATTTCTCAGACTGAGTTGTCATAGCATATAAGTAGATGAAGTTCTTATATGCAATCTTTTGTGCTGGTGAAGGATATTATAGCAACCAAAGTTAACGTTTTTCCCTGTTTTAAATCTATTTATCTCATGCAGCTAATTTACTCACACTCTTTCACATTTCTAGAACGCCACCACACATCACCCCGTTGTACCGGAGGAGAAAATCGTGGCGAACATGCAAATCAACGGTTATGAAAATCCAACATACAAATATTTCGAGGTGAAGGAGTAAAAGAAGCAACCAAAAACATATAAACTTAATAAAAAATAATAATAAATTTGCAAATATTGTAAACGCACTCAACAACTCAGTAAACCCACTAAAGGAAGCGTAAGCCCCGCCCCTACCCCTAAAAAATAAGAATAAATAAACTCCCACTATAAAAAGCCTGCTTTATCATCATTACCCACTTATACATACAACTAATAATAATACAACAAATAAGTCATACTGAAAAAAAAAAAAAAACAACCACAAACCCGAGAAATATACAAAGAACCAAATTTTCCAAAGAAAAGGGATAAAATTGAAAATAATTTTAAGAAGATAAAATTAAAACAAAACGGAGCGCAGTTCCAACATTACATACATAAAAATGTGTGTAGTAAGAGTAGAGAAAGAGAGTGAAAGGGTAACAAAGGTAAAAGAAATAATAACTGTAATAATTGCAAATAGTAAAAACGAACAAATAGCGGAGCAGAAGCAAACCATTACAAGCAGAAGTAAAACTCAAAGCGCAAAAAAATTAGATGAACTTTTGAAATATGAAGAAGATATGAAAGAAAGAGATTTTGAAAATAAAAAGTGAGCTCAAAAACAAAGATTTCAAACACACAACAAACACATACAGTAATTTTCATACACTCACCACCACCACCACCAAAAATATGCCAACACACTCACTCGAACTCCACACTCAATCGATGGAAGGAATAACTCAAAATAATTCAGCATTCTTTCATACTCTACATTACAAAAACAAAAAGTATGTTGTTCTTGTTTAGAAAGTATTAATTAAAAACCCAAAAATTATGTGTAATAATAAAGAGTAACAAAAACTTAAAATATATATTAAAATTTAAGTAAATCAAAGGTCAAGTGAAAAAAGCAATTATTTTTAAGCAAAAAGTGGAATTCGAAATTTTGCAAATGAAGAGGGGTGAGCAAATTTTATTTAACTTGAACAAAAATCATTTATTGCGCAAAGAAAGTTCGAAATAACAGTAAAGTGCTAAAGAGAGACAGTGAGTATGCGTTGCTGTACACAAAAGTGGGTGAAAATATCCTAAGCTGAGCTTAAAGCTTTCTAGTAGTAGGGCAGACGGGGGAAGTGTTAAATTGCTTAAGTTTGGGAGTAAGTAAAGAAAGAGAGGGAGAAGGAGACAGGAGGTAAAGAACGTAAAACTGATATCTGATATTCTGAATTACTAAGATACACAATTGTATACAACTGCTGAAAGAATGGGGGAGAGAGATAGGGTCAATGCCATTTAACTAATCAAAAAAAATGTACAAAAACTACTGAATGAGAAGCGAGAATTGAGTGCTTGTAAAAAGTAAAAGACACAAACTAAACGAGATAGAAGCCAAGAACTTAAAACCGCACTTTAAGAAAAACTTGCAAAATGTAGACAATAAGAGCTATTGAAGACAGAGAATTAGTTAGCGAAAAACCAAAAATCTCTACAGTGAAAGAAATAATTTCCAATTGAAAAAGGGTTTTCCTTATCACAAGCATCTTGAAATTAAATCTAATGGTTAACACAACAACTTACATAGCCACATAGAAAGCTTTAAGCGTGCTTTTTTTTTTTTTTTGTTAACTGTCAAAAATATTTATTTGAAAATTAATAAGCAACTAATAACAACTAAAGGTTGCATTTCAAATAAATATGAAAGCTCAGCAATTAGCTGTTAAAAAGCTCTTATAATATCATAACTCACCAATTGGTTGCTAAAAAGCTCATATAAGAACATCGGTACGATCGGTTTGGTAACCATATTGAGAAAAATGCAGCATGAAAGCTTACAGAAATCATAAGCTTCCATTGATAATGGTGCTTACAGCGCTTAAAGCTTTTCACAGTTAATAAAAAAAAGTTCCGCTCTCACGCCGTAATAATGGATATTTTCACACACATACACAGGAAAAGACATTTTTCGCCAATGAAATGAGTTTTGGCGAATGAAATTTAGAGAATTAAGTGGTTTTTTTGGTGAAATGGAAAGGAAATTTGAAAAAGCTCTCCACACCTATAAATACATATATATATATAAAAAGCAACTTTCACTCACTCTACTTCTAACAAATAAATACAACAAAAATAACAATCGCCTGCTTTTCATTAATCCCTTAAGACGCTGTAAGAATGAATAAGTGTTTAGCATTAGCTGGTTAAGAATTCTCTATATATCTATATATATACACAAATATATGTATATATAAATGGAACGCAAAAGCTGAAGATAATGCAATGAAGCGCATAAACATGAGTACATAAGTATACATACATAACTAAATAAAATGCCTGCTGCTATTCTTATACTCAACACATAGAAAAACTTAGAATACATGAGAAAAGTACTCAAGCACACAAACACAGAAGTTTGTTAAGTGAGAGTGTTATGTATGAACTTAAAAAACGCTTTGAAATGTGCGGAGCATATGGGTGGTAAAACGGAATCAACAATTGCCTAAAACGGCACAATTAACTAAAAGAGCTATCAAGCTGTCAGTGAAAAGCTTTCAGTGAAAGCTCGTAATATTAGCAAACTCAAAGTAACTAAAAGAGCTTTGAAACTTTGCGTACAAGCTCTCAATATAAGCAAACTGAAAATGAACTAAAAGAGCTTTCAAGTTTTCAGTGCAAGCTCTCAATCAAGAAAGTTGATAATTACTTAAAAAAAGGCAATTAATTAAAAGAGCTTTCAAGATGCCAGAGCAACCATGCAATAATAAGATATACAAATTTGGAGCAACTTAGCGAGCTTTCGATTTTGTGCAAGAAAATATGTATTTATGCTACAAGAGTGGAACTTTTCAAAGACTTATGGTACTTTTAATAACAGGAAATAGTTTTTAAAAGAACCGCTCAGACTATTTTACAAAAAGGAGAATTTCTGAAAGCTGCAGACGCTTTTACTTCCTAGAAAGCTTGTTAGTAAAAAGCTTTTCGAGCGCGCTTCTTCAAACTCGCTGTTATAAAGCGAAATTTTCGTAAGCTCCATACACTTTTACTTCATTGAAAGAGCTAAAGCTTCCTTGAAAGCGTGAAAGCTAGTTGGTAATAAGCTTTTGAAGTGCACTTTTCAAAACTCGCTGTTATAAAACGAAATTTTCGAAAGCTTCATACGCGATTACTTCCTTCAAAGGTCGCGAAGTTGTTGGTAAAGAGCTTTTAAAACGCACTTCTTCAAACTCTCTGCTATAAAACGCAAAACCATTTTGACTGAGATTTTTTTTACCCAAAAACTCTATCTGCAGAAAACAATGGGTTTTCAGTTTTCTATGAATGGCTCCACCCACTGATAAGCTCGAATGGCGTCAGTTAGCAGAATTACAGCGCGCAAAAAACCACTTATCACGCGTTGGCTGCCGTTGTTAGCTGATTACTGTGGCCACGCCCCGGTGAGGTGTCCGCAAATCAACGTTTAAAGTGATAAGGCAACACAAAGAAACGACGTAACTTGAGAAGGCAAACAGACATGCATTTCCTATACGACAAAAACGCATTCATATCAATTTCCATATTTCTATTATATTATGAAATAATTGTTTTTAGCATTTAGTACAATTAATTTAGTGTTTTAATTATATAATTTAATGACTTTAACTTGAGAAAGACAGTTTTGAAGATTTGTGCAAATTTAATCAGACACTAAATCAACACTCGAAACTAAGGAAGCGCATAAGTAATTGAGATAAAGTGAGTAGTTATAGTAAAAACAAAAACTTAAAAATAGTTTAATTAAGTGTTTCATTTTGTCTCTGATACATTTACATACTACATATGTCTACATTATAAGGACTTGAGGACCATACACTCGTTTACAGATACGTTACCTATTTACTTATTACTTAATTGAAGAAATGCATTTTTGCGTTCTACTTTATAGATAATTTAAATTTGATTGATGAAATTGATTACATTTCGAAAAGTGAGGCCCAAACGCGCAACATAAAACGGCTGAGAATTGTAAACATTAGGAAACGTAACTGTTTATGCAGCCGCGCTGCTTGCCAATGCGCTCTCTCTCGCGCTCACGCGCTGTGCGTAGCAGTTTATGTGAGTTTGTTGGACACTTAGCGGGTTCGCTGCGTGCAGACCATTATTTTCTGCAATTCTCAACCGCCTTATGTGGTTCACAAAAATGCAAAAATTCTCCACTAACAAGCAGCCAGCAATACACACACAAAAAACAGTATACAACATAGCGAAGAACAACAACTCTACAACAAATACCCTATGCATAAATATTGCTAAAAAAATTATTTATAAATAAAACGAAACTATAACTGCGAAACAACTACAAACTCTTAACAAACGCGTAAATTCAATGCAACTCTAAGCGTTTAAGTAAAGAAACGCTAAGGAAACCAAAAACCTAGTCAAAGCTTAAATATTTTTCTGTTCATTTATTATATAGCAAACCATAACACATACACGCATACATACATACTATATATATATATATTTAAAATATATAGTATACAACATATATGAAAAAATAAAAAGCAAAAACCAAACAATAATAATAACAACAACCGCAACAATTGATATTTACACTGACAATTAGCGAAGAAAGAGAACAAAAAAGCGTAGAAATAAATTTAAAAAATTTATAAAGCAAACATAAAAATGCCTACAAACAGCTGATGAAATGAAGAAATTGTAAGCAAAAACCCCGTCCTGCGTGAATTAAACAAAAAAATAAAAATACACTTAAAAAAAGCAAATAAAATTAAAAAAAAAATTAAAGCAAATAAAAGTGGAAGACACAAATCAAACAAATACAAACAAAAAATTAAAACTAAAAACGAAAATATGAAGAAAAAATATCAGCAAGTAAAGTAAAAAATTTAAGTTGCGGAAAATACAGTGTGTAAGCTGTATTGAAAAAATTTAAAAAAATATATAAATAAATAAGTATAAAAGCTCGCAACTGTTTATCGACGTCGCTCGCCCCAACCCCAAAAACCAACAACTTTTATTTGTCATACATGCTTCAAATACAAAGATTTTTAATTTAAAAAAAAATTTAATTAATATTTATTATGTTACTTCTTTTTTCACTTTTTCGTTGTTTGCGCAACAAATAATTCACACTGCAACAAATACATTTATTAAATACTTAATTATTATATATTATTGCATAGAAAGTCAACAATAACAACCAAAAATTATACATATAAATTAAATTTAAAGTACCATTAAAACAAAAAAATATTATATATATACATATATATGTGAATGTACTCAATGACAATT